GGCTGTTTAGAGCCAAGTATTTTCTCTGTTTTAAATATGCATATCAAATGAATCTACTTATACTTTAGTATTATTTTAAGTTGTTATGTAAATTTTTCATTTCTTTGAGAATATATAATGTTTCCCTCAGGATAAATCTTTGAAACCAAAACATAAAACCATCTGTTCCTTTTACTTCAACATCCCCTCCTAAATAGGACGGCCAATATTTTCCAAATAGCTTTTCAGTTAGTTTTCTTTTTCATATTACAGAGAAAGAGCAAATGCTTGAGAAATTAAATAGACTTGAAGATCTCCTGCTGAGAACATCCCCTTCTCCCCCCAAAATATGTAATTTATTATACCCAAAATGTACTATTAAAGGTACTCAAATTATATGAGCGTACTTGAAAAATTTTGTGACAAAACAGAATTAAAAGAAAATATTAATCTTTCCTTGAACTTTTGGAACACCCCTTGCATAGAATATTGGAATAAATTAATTAGTTTATATGAATTACCCTCAAGTAATACAATACTTAGTAATACCTGATGTAGGGAAGCTTCCTGAAAGGTAGGAGAGCCCGAATAAAATCTTCACACTTTAGATGTGTAAATGTCGATGAAATAGAACTAAATTGTACAAGATGCAAAACTGCAAAAGAAAAAAAAATTACAACAGAACACTTGTTCTATATTCCTTCTGTTGTAGTCTTACAACCATAAGACACTGTAGCTAATTTTGGGTAGTGAGTAATAGGAAGCTGGACCCTCGAAGAGTCTTTTTCACACCAATTACAGACCAGTACCACTAAGGCTAAAAAGTTATCTCTGAAGGACGAGAACACCTCGACATTGACCATGAGTGTACTATTTAATCAGATATATGGCCAAGAAGAAGAAATGAAGTAAGTTTTCACAACTTTAACCCAAGACTCTAACAGAGAACTTAGTTGACAAAAGAAGTTTATCTTCTGCCTGGCAACATGTAAACGCTCAAGAAGCACTTGCTGAATACTCCACTGTTCTGCCTATCAACTCTTTTCCAAATTTCTACTAGTAAAAGTAGAGAAATCAGAGTAAAAAGGCACTACCAAACAAGCCCCACACAGCACCTATCACAATATGATGTAACAGGAGATCGTCAATAATTCTTATTAAAATGAAATGCATGTAAAAATTTAATTATATGAAGAGCTATGGACACTTTCCATATAACTGTTATGACCCTCCATATGATGGTTAAATAAACATGACACGTGTTGCTATGTCACAATGTAAAGCGTATTTCTTACTGTAGATAGTGTTCAAAGACGTAGTATTTCACAGGGCTTTCCTTTACATATAAGAATCCCTAAGATGTTAACCGCTACTAGCAGCTACTGAAATAAGCCTAAAAGGTGTTTAAGTGACTTTAAAATTTCTCTTGTAACAAATTTCTATTTTCTAAGGGTAATTGCTACTATATTCTTTTTCCCTACTTAGCAGGCTGTAAAAATTTAACCTACTACTAAAAGTACTTGGAAATATGTAATAATTTGAGGGAGAAACTTCCAGATGCCTCAAACCAAACTATAGTCACGTACCCCATAAAAACATTTTGGTCCATGACTGATCACGTATCCGACAGTAGTCAGAGCAACCCCCCCCCCCCCCCCCCCTGGGTGTGTAGTAGGCTATACCACCTAGGTCTGTGTAAGTACACTCTCTGACGTTCGCACAACAATGAAATTGCCTAATGATGTTTCTCAGAATGCATCCCCACTGTTTAGCCACACATGACTGTATCGTGAATATTTCTAAATGAACAAATTCGTTGTCCTCTTCAAAGATGATATCAATAAAGTAACTGAAACAAAGAAGTCTCCTCCACCCCCAACTTCCCTCTACAATACTCCAACCAGAACATACCCATTCGTTTTCTTCCAGTATTTGCTCAAGAGCAAGAGCCTTCTCCTTCATCGAATGGCCCTCAAACTCTTTCTCTCGCAGCATCATAGAAATCTTCATATTAGTCTCATGTAATGCTTGATATTCTGCTTCCTTTACCCTGGATGTTTCTACTATTTTTTCATTTTCCCCTGTTAGCTTACAAATATCCATTTCTAAAATTAATATTCTCTCCTTCAGGTTTATTACTGCCTGCCTCAAAAGTTCATTTTCATTCACTTTGTTAGTGAAACTTTCATTTGAAGACAGTAATTGATCACTTTTGGCTTTGATTAAGAGGTCTTTTTCTTTAAGTAACTTCTGTAAAACATCTTGTTCCTCCTTTAGCTGCTTAAGTTCTGAATCGGTTTGTTCATGTTCTCTTCCTTCCAGCTCCGAGGTGGAAGCACTCGAATCAGAGAATCTGTGATTATTTTCCTGGAGAGTTCTAATTGTTGCAACTTTTTCAGAAGNCTAACACCTTTCAAATTCCAGGTTATGACTAATTGATTCATAAAAATCAATTCAATGGTTTATTCAGCACTGTTTTGGGGGATTTTTTTAAATAGAGTATCACGTGTAATAAGGGTAATTTCTGGCTCGTGAAACTTTTCAGTTTTACACACACATGAACACGTGCTGCTATGCCACAATGTAAAGGGTATTTCTTACCGTAGATACGT